AATACTTACCCATCGCCTCGTCCAATACTTACCCACCGCCTCGTCCAATACTTACCCACCGCCTCGTCCAATACTTACCCACCGCCTCGTCCAATACTTACCGCCTCGTCCAATACTTACCCATCGCCTCGTCCAATACTTACCTATCAGCAGGAGGTTGCCCTGACGTGCAGGCACGCGTGTGTACTCTTATGCGCTTGTGTTTGCAGAGAATCTCGGCCAGGCGCCGCGGGAGGAGCTAGGCATGATCACGCACGCAGAGGTCGGCCGCCATTTCTCGGAGTTCACCGGCGTCTGCTATGCACCAAACGCCGAGAAGATGGAAGAGTATCCGGAAGACTTCGAATTAACAAAGCAGACTCTCGCGGCCACGTTGCCATAGCGATAGGATTGACACCTTACGCCACAGGTTACCGTAATAAAAGGATGTCGTAGCCACATGACATTATATCAGTGGAGGAGATTGAATGGCTGGTACCTTGAGGTAGTAGTCTTAATAACTTGGTTTTTCTTATTGAAAATGGCGTTTTTAGCACTTGTTACGCCATTTGACTGGTTTTCTAATAATCATATCTTTACAAAATATCTTACATTAAGGAAGTTAATAATGCCTTTTGTAAAACGGGATGTTCAACAGCCAGTTTGTCAATTTTAGCACAAGGACTGTTAATTACCTCCGCCCAACGGAGTTAGAGGTGTGTGTATATACATAGTTTTGGTTCGATAGGATGATAAACAGCATTCATATCAAGATTACAGCTCAAGTCTCTAGTGGTACACACGAGTGCAGTTTATTATGATATAGCGCTGGAAATCGATAAAAGATTAATTCAATCTTTCAATTACTATTCATATCTTTAACTCATTATTTTGAGATCATTTTATACATTTCAAAATAAAATTTCTACAAATCATTAGCTATATTTTATAATATATATTAAATTGTAGAGAATTGTGAATCCTATAACAACTACGTACGTTAGCAGTATTTTTTATTAACGTGCATAGGCCATAAGCAAAGATGCCTATTCTTTAGTAAGTGGGCATGTGTAGATGCGTGTTTAATATCTAGGGGTTAACAATATAATTTATTTGATAGTATTCACAGTTTTTTGCATTTCATATGATCTTTTTCTATTTTCTATTTGTGCATATTATGTTTAATACGTTTACACGTTGTTAACGTCTAGCTTTTCCAGTCAAAAACGGTTGAAACTCCAAATGTTTTTAGTTCACACACATGTTAAAAAAACCTTTGCAGCAAAAGAAAACCCTGACAAGATAACTGTATGGCATGCACGCATGTCAATGCTGGCACTATGCCTGTAGAGGGGTTAAGTACGTTAGTACGGTGTGCATCTAGTACTTCTGAACGTTAATTCTGCAGCGCATACCAACACACTGCACGTTATCTATATACAGCGTGTTGGCCTTAACTTCGATGTCTGCCTCCAGGCTGAGTCTGGTCCTCTCCAGAGCCTTCTGTGCTGCCTCAGCATCCTCCAGCTTTTGCTGAAGCCTGTAACACAGTTTTAGTAAGTCGCTTCCATATGCCAATACACGGAGAAGGCGGGTAATTCCGTAACTCAAATCTCACGTGATAGGTAACGTAGGGTAATTGTGTATTTTCCTGGATCCTATACAATAATGTGCCATCATCTGTCAGCGTTCCTCATGCTCTATACTCGAGTCCTTACCCTGCCCCTCTCTCCACCTGCTCCATCCTATATCCCACGCCACTCACATCGCCACCTTCACCTTCCTTACCTGTTAACTGACATCTGAATTTCTCCCAGCTCGACCTGTAGGCGAGACTGCACTGGGTCGTAGCACAGCTCCACGTTTGGCCGCTGCGTTCGCGTTCCCAGCCGCACATGCGCCAGGTTCAGTGGCGCCCCCTTGGCGACTATGGCCTCCCGGAGTCGCGTGATGTTGAACTCCATGTCGCTCAGCTGCGCATTAATCTGCGGGACATTATGTGAGCGTGTGATGAGGACAGAGCTAGAAACTTGCTCTACACGATACACGATACGAGTTGCACGTTATCACGTGTGACTTAGAGTTAGTGTATATTTTTTACACAAATTTCTTGCCGGGGCAGTTTTTTGCTCGCCTTGACATCGACAAGATGAGCTATTGCCATGAGGTGTCATCCGTCGTACGTCCGTCCGTCAACATTTGGCTATGGTCAACGATAACTCGAGAACAGTTTGACCCATATGTATCAAATTGCATATAGTTGTTACTCCTATGGGAGAGGTTTGAACGTCCTATTTTGGAGCACGCTAGTCGACCTACATTCGAGCCACGTCCACTTTTTGGCAAAAATTGAAATGGCCATAAGTCAGTTCAGTGTCCGTCAGGTTCAATGGATTTTGCTCATTTCTGGTATGTGAATGAATGAGGACTGGCCCCAAAACATAACAAAACTTTGCCCGTTTTATTTTGACGATTCTTTGTGGTATTATTGATCAGCTGTCCTACCTTGCTAATATAAAACAAACCGCTTGTCCCTACGATGCTGCTACGCTGAGATAATGAGCAGTGAAAATCTGGTATTTTTCGGAAAACCGACTCGAGATCCCAGTTGGCTGCGTTCATGGTTGCCTTCTTAATACGCTCTTGATAATATAGTCTTCGTGACAATCAATTATTCTTTCTCAATCCCTGTCATTTCTTTGCATGTGTTCCATCCTCGGCAGAGTAAAGCTGAGCCTACCTGAGCCAGGTGCATCTCCAACCTTTCCTTGGCATCTTTTGTTTCAGCAACCCTATGTCCAAACGCCGTGTTGACTGAGTCACACTGAGCTTTCATGTCTTTTGCTGCGAATACAATTGGCAAGCCAGCAAGTTATTTACTCAAACTGATGACATAAATTTATCATACAAAACCTCTCCCGTTGTGCTGGAAAACAGGAGTTTCCAGGTTCTTCCTAAACTATGTTTCTTATTAAAATTGGAGTCTATCTTATTTAGTTATTGAAAATCGTCTTTTTTACTACCAGTTAAAATTCCTAAAAATTCCACCTGAAAGTATTTGTCTACTGCACTGCAGGATGTCATTGTCATATCAATGATACTAAACATTAAATTTCTCATGCGTCGACAGAAGCGTAATGTCAGGGTTAGATAATGACAAATTTGTCATTATCTAACCCTGATAACATGTATGTATCAACTGTTCATGCATTTTCACATGACTGTGGGTGCACGACCCATGCTTTCGTGCATGTTTATAGCATTGTTGTGTTTGTGTGTCTGTGCGTGTGCATCTGTGTGTGTGTGTATGTGTGTGTGTGTGCGTGTGCGTGCGCGTGCGCGTGCGTGTGCGTGTGTGTACGTGTGTGTGCGTGTACGTGTGTGTGCGTGCGTGCGTGCGTGCATGCGTGCGTGCTTATTTCACTACCTGTCTGCTTCAGCATGCTGTCAATGAGCAGACGAAGGTTGAGGCCATTATGACACTCCCTCTCGGCCTTCTGTATGTTGTTGTTGCTAAACGTCTGCCAGCCATTCGGGTCAGTGACACTGCAATATTTGGTACGGATCATAATGAGTCAATACAGTGATAGTCGATAGTGACACACACACTAACATCGTACGCCCCAGCGTGGACTAGTCTGGCTGACTATTGGTGTGGTACGTACGTGGTTGTGGATGTAACATGTGCGATCTGGTCTCCTTGAAGCATGTCCGCAGATGCCGTGTTGCTCCTGAGGTTCGAGCAATGGCTGTCAATTGCCAGCGCTGTTTGCTTGTCTTTGAGGTCCTTTTCTATGTAGTACTTTGCCGAGCGACACAGCCTGCAGACATGGTCTATGTTACACACTTATATATATATATATGTGTTAAAAATTAACTCGAAACTGACGTGAAATTTAGAAACCATAACTTTGGGTTTTTTTCTCATTAATTATCATTTTTTTCATCAGTGATTTATTTGATTCATTGATTTATTGATTTCATCGATGATTTTTTTCATCATTTCATTTATCTTTTAACATCGTTGTAGAGGCGTAGCGAGGAATTTGACTACCTGATCTGCTCAGTGGTCTGGTCAAGCGTTTTCTCCAAGAGGGACATGACTTCCTGGATGCCTGCCACCTCCCTCAGTAGCTCTCCCTGTACAGCATCCCTCACCTGCTCCTCCCCTACACGATGCTTCCTGTCATTTAACATCAAGGATATGTCTCACACCGCTGCTCTCAACATCAGCAGATGGCCAATTATTTCACACATTACACTAACAATAAGGGCTAACTATACTTTTTTACCCCAGTCCATGCACGATGGGTAAGAATCAGGTTACAGTTAAGTCATGACGTATGAAGAAGATGTATTGTGGGGTCCTTATGTAGGCTGAGCCAACAATCATCATGTACCAGCTTTCCTTCGCAGGAATCATGCAATTACCACGACATAGACCATAGACTATAATTGGCTCGGTCTCCCAATTATGTGATCAAAAGGATCACTGGAAATACATGGATATAATGTCCGTTTTAAGATGTGAAATGGTGGTATATAATGTAAATGCTGCAAACCTATGTTCTAGGCACAGCTGTGCAATTTCCAGAGGTTCTTGACTGGCCTTCAATGCCTTTTCCAGTCGAGTCTTGTACGTGAGCAAATTCTCAACTTCAGTCTTGGTATCCTGTAGCTTCTGCTCCAATTCTGTCTTCCAGAACTCTATATCATCTAGTCTTTGCTCTGTGCACATCGATTTCACAAATACAACAGACTTTTATTAGTTGTGGACAAACTGTATTTCTAGCTGTGAGCTTACGGGGTTTACTTGGTGTGTGCACATTGCAGCACTTAAATGTACATATGTATCAGGATGTATGTTGCTACCCTCAGGGCCGTAGTGGCCTTGGGGGGGGGGGTCTTGGGGTACTCCCCCCAAAAAAGTTTTAAATTTAGAGCCTGGAAATGGCATTTCCTGCATTTTCAGGCTATGTTGAAAGCAACCAATTCTGATCATTTTAAAAGGTCAATTTGTAAATTTCAAAGAGGAATGTAGCTAAAGCTGATGTTTTGACTAAAGTATCTAAAATATATATTACAGTCCTCGCCAAAAGCGGCGGACCGTCGGACAAAACCGGTGATTTTTGCACGGGTCCGACAAGAAATTTGGCTTTACCAGACCGTGTGTCAGGTAACATTACATCAACTAATTACGCAGAGGCTACGGGTACGTGAGTACCACACACTATGCCTAACCCTAATATCCCTGCCTATGGCTATCTTATATACGCGTGTACCAAATTAATCTATGGTGTGGGAAAGCGATAGGAAGAGATTGGCTGTTATATGATAAAAGATAAGAAAATTATGACATGCGACGTGTGTGTGAACTAGCTATCATGGGAAGTTTATATTACTATCACTGATTATTAGTGGTCTAACGGTTAACCGCGGTTAACCGAAGATTTTAATGCAATTGGGGACCAAACATATGCAATTCAAAGCTGAACGGCTAATTTCAATGTTGAGGCCGAATCGCTGCATGGCCCAGCAGCCCATCCCACTGACAGACGGGATACGGCACTATGCTTAACCTAGATATCCCTGCCTATGGCTATCTTATATACGCGTGCTACAGAATTAATCTATGGTGTGGGAAAGCGATAGAAGAGATTGGCTGTTATAGTGATAAAAGATAAGAAAATTATGAAAATGCGACGTGTTGTGAACTAGCATCATGGGAAGTTTATATTACTATCACTGATATTAGTGGTCTAAGCGGTTAACCGCGGTTAACCGGAAACCGCGGTTTTTGCGCCACCATTGCGATATCTCGAACCGTCTTCCGTTTTCGGCTCGGTTTCGGTTTCACATTTTATATATACCCGATATATACGCTTTTGAGATACGCGCACTGCGATTGCTGGTCGTAAACTCTCGGCCAATCAGCGAGCAGATAACATTGATAGACCGACTTGCTACATGCCAGAGAAGGTCCACGCGTTCTTTTTGTCTGCAAAAATTATACAACTATGTTGATCCGCGCGGCCTCGGCTACAGATCTATGGTATTGTATAAACCAGTCTGACTATTAAATTTGCACTTGTGTTATAAGATTTGTGATTGATCGCAAATATTCGAACCGAAAATAACCGAACCGAAATGTGAAAACCGAAAAACGACGAACCGAACCGTGAAGTTGTGATTTCGTTGCACGCGCTGCCCTACTGATTTATACCTGGATCCACAGGTCAACTGGACAAGGCCACCCGGCCTAGAAATAGGTGAAACCGTACCATTAATGACAAAGCTGGCTTATGAATGCATTGCTGATTGTACGCGTCAACGAAATGATGTAAAATAGAACGAATGCTAGCTCTTTTCCAAAGCTTTAATCATGGACGGATCACGAAGCAATTAGCTGGTGGATAGCCAGGAAAGCATATATGTTAGATATGTCCACTGAAGAAAAGCAAACCCAGAGATGGAATGTGTTTTAATGTTTTACCCTCTTTTTTGGTCCAGTCAACTATCATTCGTCTGAGGTTAAAAATCTATTTTTTCTAGGACCGAGAAGTGCGCAGTAAAGGCTTTGTCTTTTTGGCGTGACGACTTGCGATATTATGAGTATAAATAACTAATAAAAATTGTTTTAAACGGAAAATTTTATATACTTCAGTACACTAATTATGAAAATACTATTGTTATTTAATCAATTTACTCGTTCCAGTGCATCGTACTTACAAGAAATACGTTGAAAGCCGGGCCGTGAAGGCATCATGCAACGTTGTGTGTTTTCTGTGTGTTTGTGTGTGTGCGTACGTGTGTGGTGTGTGTCATGTGGTGTTTGTGTGTACAGTGGTGCGTGTGCGTGTGCATGTGTTCGTGAGGTGGGGGTGTGCGTGCGGTGTGTGCGAGTAGTGCGTGCATTTCATCTCTCCGGGATCATGCGTTTTTCTCTCCTGCTAACAAGATAATACCACAGAATTATTGGTTCAAGTGGCCTAGACAGCATAGATTGTTAAACAAATCACTGTTCGCCGTGGCGCGAGCATTCGCGGAGACCCCCTCTTTTTTAACGTGCCAGGTTCATAAGCATTAAGATTTCAAACGAAATCCTATGTTCCGGAACCACCCATTTCGACCCAATATGATTGTAGCCGGTTCTCAGAGCAGTACCCACATTCCACAAACATTAGTCGGCAGAGACCCCCCGCCCAATTTTCAGGTCTGATGTTATTTCAGAAGCCGCCCCCCCCCCATGTTTTGACTTCCAGTGGCAG